CGCCCTGGCCCCGCCCCCCGGGCCGCTGGGGGCGGTGTCGCTAACGGCAAGTTACAGCAGCACAGACGTGCGTAAAACACCTCTCAGGCCCCGGGCGTGCATCGTGTGCGTTACACACCCGTGTCATCGCGGGGAAGCCGGCGGGGCCCGCGCCGCCGCCGCCGCCTCAGGAGCTTGCAGCTGTGTGGAGAGTCGATGTGAGAGGGTCGGCGCCCGGGGGCGAGTGTCTGTGCGTCACTTGAGGTGTCACATCGCATCCCTGGGAACTTTTCAGAAGGATTATAGGAGATATGTACATGTATGTGTATGCACACACCCTGTAATCCGTATGAAAAGTGTGTGTGTGTATATATATATGTGTGTGTATATAGATATATATGTATGTGTATATATATGTGTGTGTATGTATACATGTGTGTGTATGTATACATGTGTGTATTTTGGATATATATATATATACACACACACACACACACACACGTGTGTGTGTGTGTATGCACTTTTCAGAAGGATTATAGGGTGTGTGTGTATATAGATATATATAGATAGATATCTATATACACACACACACTTTTCAGAAGGATTATAGGGTGCCCTCCTCAGCCCACCTCACCCTGTCCTCATAATTCAGGGGATGCTTTTTGGCAGGTGCAGTCACCCCACAGCTTTATTGGTCACATCAACTGCTTTTGCCACCCCTATCTATACGGCATCCAGTTTTTATCATCCCTAGTCTACATAGCCCCCGAGCTCCCTCCTTGCTGTGATTTGGCAGTGCCCACCAGCTTCCCTTATCTGCTGCTTAAAACTACATGGGGTCTGATAGACTGGATCAGACTTGAGCCTGGCTTTGTGTCTCCGATGGTGGCCAGCACCAGCTGCTTGGAGGAAGATGTAAGGATGCTGCAGTGGGTAAACGTGGTAATCTGCCTCCCACAGGTTTCATCCTGATTTATGACAGAGATTAGCGGGACCTATAATCATTAAATTAAATGTACTGTAATTTTTTTTTTTTGCTGCCATTATTGAGGTCTTGGATTAACTCAATAGTCCAGATATTTATACAATTATCCAATCATTTTTGAAGCTTGTTAAATTCTTGGCCTGAACTTCTGTGGGAATGAGTTCTACAGTTTAAGCTTTGTGAGAGGAAAGTATTTTATTGGTTTTGAATTTCCCTTCTTTTAGGGTCCCCACTTACGACACGTGCAGAGAACTCTGTGGCCCCAAAGCAGAGCTCTGCACTGGCATTCAGGAGATCTCGGTTCCAAGTCACAGCTCTGCTGACAGTCTGCTGGGTAAGTCACGGCACCTCTTTTGTGCTCCAGATGCACAACCTGTGAAACTGGCACAATGATATCAAGCTGTTTCGAGTTTTCCAGATGCTATGTTAGAATTAGGCACTATTATTAGTTTGGCTTATATTTAATCAGCAAGTGACAAGCTCACTTTAAATGGCGAAAGAGCTAAAATTTGAAAATCTGAGGTTAGATAGCTTTTATGTGATGATTGGTTAAAACATGTCACGATCTATGCACTCTTTAGTCTGGTTGTGCTTTGCTTTGAAGGCCCAACCAACACAATTCTCTGGCTTTCAGGCACTCAGCTACCTTATCCTGGCATTCTAAGATTTCTTGCATTGCTAAGAAATGGAATTTCATGTAGGAAGTTCCTCTATTACTGGTGAAATCCCTATAATCATTCTCCAAACAGTTGAGCATATGCTTAACTTTATGCCACTGAGCAGTCCTGTTGGCTTTAATAGGATTACACAGGCATGCAAATGCATGCAAGATTGGGGCCTTAAAAGTGAGACGTGTAAA